AAATGAGTAGAAGCTGAATACACACTTTACCAAAGATAAACAGATGGAAAATTTACATATATATATATATATATGTGTGTGTGTGTGTGTGTGTGTGTGTAGCAAAAAAAGAGACCAAGTCAAACTGACAAAGCTGAGGACTGAACCCAGGGCCTTGCACTTGCTAGGCAAGCACTCTACCATTGAGCTAAATCCCCAACCCCGACAAAGTGCTTGCATAAACACTTCTCTAAAGATGCTATCTAAAAGGCCATAAGCCTATGAAAAGATACTCAACATCACCAGTCACCAAAGAAACGCAATAAAAATACAATGAAATTTCAATAAGGGTACAGAGAAATGTGAGCCCTTATATATTGTTGGCTTGTGATTGTGAAAGATTTTGAAACAATACAACAGTTAAGGAAGACAGAACAGAATCTCCTGGAAAAATTGCAAATAGCCAGACCTGATGGTGTGAGTCTGTAATCCTAGCTCCTTGGGAGGCCAAAAAGCAGGGGGATCTTGGGCTAGACCCTGTCTCAAAAAATGTATTTTAAAAAATTTTAAAGGCTAGGGATACAGTTCAGTGATAGAGTACTCATATAGCATGTGGAAGACCCAAGATCCGATGCTCACTAAAAAACCAAAACATACCTCCCCAAAATAAACCTCCATAGAACCTAGAACTATCTTACTTCTGAATACTTACCAAAATAATTGAAACTGGGGTGTCCCAAAGATATTTTTACACAGTCATGTAGCCATGCTCACAGCAACATTATCCAAATAGCAGTCTACTGACAGTGAGTAAATAAAATGCGGTACACACATGCTAGGGAATTATTACGCCTTAAAAGGATACACTGAGGACCCACACCATGTGAAGTAAGCCCCTCACAAAAAGAAAAGTGCTATATTTTTCCACTTACATTGAGTATCTAAATTAGACAAGTTCACTAGAGCATAAAGAACAATGGTGGTTGCCAGGGCTTAGGAGATGTGTGTCTGGTTTCAGATTTAGAAGATGAAAAGTTCTATAGATGTGTATCACAATGATGCAGATTAACACTAATGAACCACATAATTAAAAATGGTTAGAAGGCCAGGCATGGTGATGTATGCCTTTAATTTTAGCACTTATGTAGCAGAGGCAGGTGGATCTCTGAGTTTGAGGCCAACCTGGTCTACATAGTGAGTGAGTTCCAGGAAAGCCAGAGCCACATAGTGAGACCCTGTCTCAAACAAACAACAAAAAGTAATAGTTAGAGAAACTGGACATGGTAGTCTAAGTCTGTAGTCCCAGCACTTGGGAGGTGCAGGAAGGAGAGTTCAAGGTCATTGCTGGGGGAGATAGCTCAGTGGTAGAGCAATTGGCCAGCAGCCATTAGATATTAGATTCAATTCTTGCTAGTAGCAAAAGAATAAAAATCCTGCCGGGCGGTGGTGGCACACACCTTTAATCCCAGCACTCGGGAGGCAGAGGCTGGCGAATCTCTGTGAGCTCGAGGCCAGCCTGGGCTACAGAGTGAGCTCCAAAGCTACACAGAGAAATCCTGTCTCTAAAAAAAAAAAAAAAAAAAAAAAAAAAAAAAAGAAGAAGAAAAATCCCACAGCCATCAGGTGTTCCTGTTTCTAAAGATAGGAGCTGGAGAGACTGCTTAGTGTTAAGAGCACTTTTTACTCTTGTAGAGGATCTGGTTTCCATTCCCAGCATCCACCCATGACTCCAGTTCCAAGGGATCTCATGGCCTCTTCTGACCTCTGTAGGCATCAGGCACACATGTGACACAATAGATATATGCAGGCAAAACACTCATACACAGAAAATAAAATTGAAAAGATCTTAAAAAAATCATAAAACTAAAACCCACTAAGTATGTAATCCCAACACTCAGGAGGTAGAGACAAAAGAAGGATCTGGAATTCAAGGTCAGCCTTGGGTACATAGAGAACTTGATGTCAGCTTGGGTTATATGAGGTCCTGTTTCAAAAATCTAAAACTAAAAATAAGAGCTAGCTGCTACATGAGACCCCTATCTCAAAACAAAAAATATGGTTAAGAAAACAAACTGTTTTAAAACTGTATTAAAGGCAGTATGTTCAACATCATCTATCACTAGGAAAATTAAATGAAAATCAGTAGATACCCCTGAGAAACACACAAATCGGAGGAGACTGAGGACATTTGGTCCATGGCAATATGAATCTTTTTTTTTTAAGATTTGTTTATTTATTATGTATACAGTATTCTGCCTGCATGTGTCCCTGCAGGCCAGAAGAGGGCACCGGATCCCTTTACAAATGGTTGTGAGCCACCATGTGGTTGCTGGGTCCTCTGGAAGAGCAGTCAGTGCTCTTAACCACTGAGCCATCTCTCTAGCCCCGGCAATATGAATCTTAAGATGATCAAAGCAAGCTAGTTTAGTTTATTCTATTCTATTATTTATGTTATTTTATTTTATACTTTATTTTCTGAGAGAGTCTTACTTGCTATGGTGCCCAGATTGGTCTTGAACTCCTGAACAAAAGTGATCCTAAGTGTTAGAACTATACACAAATGCCAGCACCCCCAACGAGACAGGTTAGTCTTTAAAATAGGTTTCCAATTTCTCTTAAATGACAAGTTACACTTACAAATGTCACCAACTATTAGAGTGAGAACATTTCACAACATTTTCATATTTTAGCCACAGTTGATCATTTGCAAAAAGAAGAGAGTATGACTACAAATTTTCAATATGGCTCTTTTTATTAAAACACTGTTGCTATAAAAACACTAGAAACTAATAAGAGAAAGTACGTCATATTGTTTTAATAATTTTCAATAAAAAGAATAAAATATAATGAAAGGTACAAGCTCACTTGATACTAATGACATATTGCAAAACATACATCTTCCTCTATAAGAAAGCAAAATGTGTAATTTGAGCCAGATGTTGAAATGCTTGGGATTTATCTAAGAGCAAATATTTCAGAAAATATGTAGAAGTATAACCACAGAATTGCTTTAGGGGGTTCTCTAGCTGAATATTTTTACATTGCACTTCACTTGGTTTTGCAAAATGAATTACGTTCTGATCTAACTATACATATACATATAAATAAGGATTCCACAGAAGCAGTTCAGCATAGTAAAGAGTTTGAGTTTGAAAGTCAGATTTTTGGCTCTACCAATTACTGGCTGGTGGCTCTTGGGGAACTTGAAGTCTGAGCTTCAGGAGCTCATTTGAAAAACGTGATGACAAGAGTTAAGTTATCTCATAGGAGGTATTGTTAGAAAGAGCTAATACCTCTAAAGTGCTTTCCACAGCATCTGACACACACCAAGTACTCAGTGGAGAGTACGGAGTATTAATGTTGCTATTACTACTATTATGTTGCATTACTAACAAAATAACCACCCCTCAAATCCATACACACACCTCAAAAGGTCTACAAGGAAGGAAGTACAGGAGACTAACAATAATCAGAGGCTGTGGCCTGAGACTAGAAGCCTGAATTTCTGAGGTGGTGTAGGTATATCCAAGCTTTGCATATAGGAATTTGGGGATAAAGTGGAGTAAAGGTAGAGGCCACTGGCTGGTAGACACAGTTGGTCATTCATACAATAGTAATTCTGTCTCCCAACTAGGACAGGAACTGAGGTGCAGAGAATTAGTCACAAAGGACCCTCCTCACTGGCTGCGGAGTAACTGGGAAGACAGTAACATGGTACCACTCTGCGCACCGCCGCGATCCCCAATCCTCTAGCCGAGCTTTGGCGAGCTCAACTGTACCTCTACGCTCACCTACTTTTCCCTGCAAGTAATGAAATCAGAAAAAAGGCAAAGAAAATTCCTTCCCGGCAGCACCTCACACACAAGCCCTGGGTGCTTAAAAAGTGCAATTGGTCAGGGATAACGGGAGGAGGGCAACACACTCCATGTTTGCTCACACCTCGTATCCCAGGCAAACAGATAAGACTATGGGAAGAACCACGTGGATAGTGACCTCACTGAAGCAGCGACACTTCAAACAGTCCTCTGCAAACAGCAAATGTAAAACAAGACACCCAATAGATAAGCTACTCTCGCGATGCCCCCTCCTGTGTTCTCACACAGTAATTCTCCCAGATGACTGACTAGCTCCTTTGGGTTACTTAGCAAGGCCATATTTCAATTCAGACCTGAGCTATCCTACCCCTGCATCTGCAATCTGGCTCTCCTTTTTTTTTTTTTTTTCCGGTGCTGGGGATGACCTCACACATGCCTAGCATGCACTCCATTACTGAGCTACACCCCCAGCCACATGGCTTTTCCTTTTTAATTCCGAAGTTTGATATGGCATGGCTCACCTATAACGCTAATATTTTAAGTACAGAAATATTTCTGCAGATTCAGGTTTCTAACTGATTTCTACTGACAGGAGAAAGATTCAAAGCATAGTCAATTCTAAGAACAGTTCGAAGATCAGAGACAGAGTCTCTTAAAGGATCCACCTTTTAAAAATGAAAAGGAATTAATTTTAAATTTAATTCCTGCAACTTTCCTCCTATACCATACTTTTTCAAAAGTCTTTAGACATTGTATTAGCTTTGAAGAAGAAATAAAAAACACCTACCTTAGAAACTAGACACTTAGCTAGCCCTAAATATATCACAGAAGAGAAGGGTACTTCAAATGAAGAGGACTGGTACAGAAGCCAGGCACGATGGTGCGTTCCTGTAATTACAGCACTGGAGAGGCTAAGACAGGAGGATCACAAGTTCAAGACCATCCTCCAGTATGTAACAAGGAAGACAGAAAACTTATTTATACAAAGTTTTTTTTTTTTTTTTTTTTTTTTTTGGTTTTTCGAGACAGGGCTTCTCTGTGTAGCTTTGCGCCTTTCCTGGAACTCACTCTGTAGACCAGGCTGGCCTCAAAAACTCACAGAGATCTGCCTCACTCTGCCTCCCGAGTGCTGGGATTAAAGGTGTATGCCACCATCGCCCGGCCTATACAAAGATTTTGAAAACAATCTGCCACCCAGAAAGCAAGTGAAATGGAGTCAAGGACTTCAATGAAAGAAAAGAAGAACAATGTAGGAAAAATCAATGGGATGGTCAGACAATCTTTTCCTGGGACATAGAAACTAGACCATGAAATCAAGAAGCTATTTCATCTTGATCTAAGTGCTAGCCTCCAGTCTGAACACAAAAAGATCCAGATTATTTGAACTGGTTGTCGATCAGGGTCCCCTTCATTTTTGCTTTCTTGGCTTCCAATTCAGCCTAGGAAGAAAAAAAAAAAGTATGCCCTGATACATCACAATCACATGAAATACTCAACATTTCTTCTTTATTCTAACTGTCCCACTCGCCCTTAACTGCTCAGTGTACAAGCCAACAGTGGTTTTAGAATCCTTATCCATCAACTTCAAACTCTGGCTCATGAAAGCTACATAAAAAAAGTGTATGTGTGTGTGGGTTACGAATCTAGAAAGAGGCTCACAAAAGGGAAGGAGGGATAATGTGCTAAGAAAGCAGAAGAGAAAGCACAGTGTAGATCTGTAATCCAAGAACTAGGGAGCAGCCGGGCGGTGGTGGCACACGCCTTTAATCCCAGCACTTGGGAGGCAGAGCCAGGCGGATCTCTGTGAGTTCGAGGCCAGCCTGGGCTACCAAGTGAGTTTCAGGAAAGGCGCAAAGCTACACAGAGAAACCCTGTCTCCAAAAACCAAAAAAAAAAAAAAAAAAAAAACTAGGGAGCTAGAAGAAAGAGGATCAGGAGTTCAAAGCCAGCTCTGAACACATAGCAAGTTTGAGGCCAGCCTGGACTAATCCTTTCTTTAAAAAAAAATAGAGAGAGAAAGAAGAAAATAAAAAGCAGAGGAGGAGAGACTATGTGGAAGAAGTAAGGAGAACAACCAGAGGGGGTAGGGAGGATGGGAAGGCTGTGAGGTAGGAAGGCGGTAGGGTAGGGAGCATGGGAAGGCTGTGAGGTGGGGAGCATGGGAAGGCTGTGAGGTGGGGAGGATGGGAAGGCTGTGAGGTGGGGAGCATGGGAAGGCTGTGAGGTGGGGAGGATGGGAAGGCTGTGAGGTGGGGAGCATGGGAAGGCTGTTGGGTAGGGAAAGAATGAAAACAAAGATAATGAGACATATTTATGAAATGCCATAAAGAAACTTACTACTTTGTATGCAAACCTAAAAAATGTTATAGACGTTTTGATGAAGCATCAATGCAGTAATGTCTGAGAGTAATGAAATAAGCCAATACTGTTATCTTAATAACACAAATTAAGAAAGTAGTAGTGAACAAGAGTTGGGGGGAGATAAAAAAGTGGGGTAAGAACAATCAGAATGAATAAGATACATAACACAATATTCATGAAATTATCAAACCACAGCTCCAATTCGGGTATACTGAGGTAGCACAACTGTATGCCATTCCACCCTGGAGAGCACTCGAAAACCCGGCCCTTAACCCGACCACAGAGTACAAGCAGCAGATTCAAACATCACCCCAGTCAGGCCTGTCAAATAAGAGTTCGAATTTAGCAGTCAGAAGCCAGTCAGTATTGCAGAGTTGGGCTTACCAACACAGTCAGAGCCTGGGTGAGAAAGCTGGCAGCCAACTATACTAGTAACTCCAAGAGCTTCTTAAAAGCTCCCCTGCCTCTGCAAATCTTATTCAAAGCAAGACATTCAAGCCAGGGGGCTGCACCCTTCCTCTCCAGGCCACTCACCAGCTCTTGCAGTCGCCTCTTGCTCATGCCTTTGCGCTCCAGCTGTTTTTCAATCACTTTGGCATTCTGTGCATAGGAGTCAGCAACTTCCCGCTACAGGAAAAATGAAGGACCTTTACATCAACACACTTAACAGGAACTACAACCGAGACAGCAGTAGTCACACTGCTCAAGTCCAGAAACTGGACCTCACACAGCGGGCCTCCCTACACTTTCAACTCTTTATCTGCTCAATAACCCAGGAGAGTTCAGGTTTCCATGGTGATCATGTGAGAACACCCCTCCGCAAAAACCACTTGGCTTGAAATACCAGAAAAGTAACTGCTGTTACTGCTGAGGACAGACTGAAAGCATCAGAGCCAGACTGGAAGGGACTGAAAACCATTCAGTCGAGTATCTTATTTAGTATTTGTTTGTTGTGATGAGAGGATCCAAATTCCTTGTTCTCCTTTGCTAGATGTCCCTCCCACTCATGGAAACAGGTACTCCAATAGCAGAGTTTCTTACTAGCAGAGCAGGCTGTGAAAGCAGGCTTGCCAACTGTTCTGCTCTACACAGGCTCTGGCCTGCAGCCCCTTACTACCCCCCCATCCTAATTCCCTGAAAGCAGAAGCACTTACAGCCTCTATCTCTTCTTCTTCTTCATCAATGGTAGACACAGTAACAGAGCTGAACTTGCCCATGTCTTTAGTCCGTTTGGTCATCATAACCTAGAATAGAGGAAGAAGCATCAAGCTAAGTTCACCCCACAAGGATCCATGAGCTATGTATGCAAGCACATGTGTGTGCATCTCAGTGTTTTCAAGCATTTGCTATTGAGCTTTTGGGTTGTCTGTTTCTGGTTTTTTTCGGGACAGTTTCTCTGTGTAGCCCTGGCTGTCCTGGAACTCACTTTATAGACCAGGCTAGCCATGAACTAACTCAGAGATTCACCTGCCTCTGCCTTCCTCCCAAGTGCTGGGATTAAAGGTGTGTGCCACCATCACCTGCCAAAAGATGGCTGGAGAGACAGCTGTGGGTGCTGGGAACCGAACTCATATTTTTGCTTGTGAGCCTAGCCTTTAATGGCTGAGCCATCTCTCCAGCCCACTCTTGAGGGTTTTTTTTTTAAGTATGTTTAAAAATCAATTTAATTTATTGAGGATTTAATTGTTCCCACTTAATTGTTTCTAAAAAGAAAAAACTGAATAAAAGGAAAATAGAAATTATACAATTTCTAACCTTACAAGACTACTGTATATAAAGAATAAAGAATAAATAATAATAATAAATGTCACAGTTCTATAATACCTGCATGTACACAACAATGCCATTTTTTTTTTTTTTGTTTTTCGAGACAGGGTTTCTTTGTGTAGCTTTGCACTTTTCCTGGATCTTGCTCTATAGACCAGGCTGGCCTCGAACTCACTAAGATCCACCTGCCTCTGCCTCCCAAGTGCTGAGATTAAAGGCATGTGCCACCACCGCCCGGCTGGCATTTTCTTAATAAATATTTCATCTATAAGGAAAGTCTCTCAGGTATTATACCTTTATTTTAAAAATTAGGAGGTAGTGGTATAGTTAAGTAGTACTTGCCTAACTAACATGTACAAGTCCTGGGTTTGATCCCCAGCACTAATCAAATTTGGGACTAAATGTGTAGCTATAGTTAGTAGTCTGTGCCCTTTGATGATAATTACCTTCTTAGGAGGCTCCTGCTTCTGGGTATATATATTGGTTTTCCCAAAGCCTTGGCCAAATTTCACTACGGCTCCATCCACGATGAAGGTCACAGGAGCATTCTTTGGCTGGGACTGGTAGAAGAGCGGCAGTCCACACCTGCAAATGGCAGAGTGAATCTCTGGAAGGCCTCCAACTCTACACCCCCAAAGCATGGCTTGCAAAGTAGAGTTGGTTTCTGGGAACAGTCTTGTTTGGGGCAGGAAATGTTTACCTTTTCCCTAACAAACTTGATAAGAATCAATTAGGGTGCATGTTGAAATTTCTGATCAGGTTCCTAGGCCTCTTCCAGAAGATCCTTGTTTGGCAACTGTAGGGGTAAGTGAGGCCTGAGATTCTGCTATTTTAATTGGCATATCACATGATTACTGACATTAGACAAAATTTGGGAAATGCTAGCCAACACTACTATTGGCTTTGTAGTCAAAAACTGCTACCATTATTCCCAGGTGCCTGAACACTGGTTTGGGCATTCTGTCCACTTTGCTGCTTCATTTTACAGCATCAGAGAAAGTGGACAGGAGGCACTACAATGTTTGGCAAAATAAATCCTGTACAACTGCCACTTTCTCTGGCTGACCTACAAGAAGAAGACCTACAAGATATGATTTAAAAAAAAAAAAAAAAAAAAACAGCTTCATGAATCCAGTATGGCTAGGAACTCCAATGTCTTCCTGTCTTCTACTTACTTTCCTCTGCTTCAATGCTCCTACTCTGAGTCATTTGAGAGCCAAGACACAAGTGTCCTCACATAAAGATTGAACTGAACTGCCAATATAGTGGCTGGCCTTTCATCCCAGCACTCTGGAGGCAGAGGCAGGTGGATCTCCGTGAGTTCCAGGCCAGCTTGGTCTACATACTAAGTTCTAGGATAGCCATGGCTACATAGACAGACCCTGTCTCAAAACAACAATAACAAAAATTGAACTCATTAATATTCTTACTATTAATAGTCTAAAGCTGGAAGTTTTGCTTTAAACAATATCCTTTAAGATTCCTAGCTTTGTAGTCTACATAATACATTTCATACATAAGCCTGGAACTAAATTATATTGTGTCACATTTTCCATTATGACTCAGCCAATTCTACTCCAAAAGAAAATATATGTTCACAATAAACTGTATCTAGAATACTCACAGCAACATTCCTGGTAATAGCCTACACTGGAAGCAACTGAAATTCATTGTGAATGGGTGTGCAAACTGATACGATGGGATGTTCAAAACTAAAGAGTACTGTGAATGAGGAAATGAACTAACAGGATGGGATACTCAACAAAAAAGAGAAACAAATGATTGATACACATAACAACTTGAATGAATCCCTAAAACATCAAACTGAGAAAAACTAGGGATGGGGGCAGTGAGATGGCTGAGTGGGTAAAGGAGCCTGTTGCCAAGGCTAAAAACCTGAGTTTGATCCCCCCAAGACCCACATGGAAGGTGAGAATCTTCTCCAAGTTGTCCTTTGATTCCTATATGTATGCCATGTACATATGCAGGAGAGAGGGAGAGAGAGACAGACGGAGAGAGAGACAGAGAGAGACACAGAAAGAGACAGAGAGAGACAGAGAAAGAGACAGACAGAGAGAGAGAAGAGAGGGAAAGAGTGAAGGAGGGAGGGAGAGAGGGAGGGCAGGAGGGTGGGTGGGCAGAGAAGGGGAGAGGGAAGCGGGGAAGAGAGAGAAAGCTAAACCAGCTATAAAAGACATGTACTTGTATGTGGTAGAAAACACTATAGAATTTCCACAAACTGTTAGGAAAGGTGAAAGCACAGTGACAAGGAGTAGCGACTACCAGGGAGGAGGATGGAGAAAGGAGACTGGCTGCAAAGGACATGGGACTGCTGCAAATGCTTTCTATCTTTCTTTCTTTTTTTTTTTTTTTGGTTTTTCGAGACAGGTTTCTCTGCGTAGCTTTGCGCCTTTCCTGGAGCT